ACTACGCGGGACTCGAACCGCTTGACGCTCAGAGATTATTGGAACCTTGATGATGGCGGACTGAACAAGGTGTAAGTTGACACTTGGTCAGTTGGCCTTCCTCTGGACCCAGCAGGAATTCAATCTAGGCTCAAGTATTTCTTGCTTGTTCCACAACCAACATTTTCTTCTTTGACTTTTAGAATTTTGAGCTTTTCTTTCTTACTCTTTATTTATATTTTAAACTTTTTATTATTATTGTTTATTCTTGCCATTTTATTTTGTTCTTTTTTTTTATCATTACTGCTGGATTTCCCAGTTTGTGAAGCACAGGAGTAAATGCATGGAGATAATTACTGATGCAATGGTTTATCAGGGATGTGTGGGGAGGGTGAGATACGGAGGGTGAAGGGGTTTGGGGAGCAAACAATGAATTCGGGAAACACATGCAATGATGCCAAATGCGGGATGATCACAGGCTAGTGGGTACGAAGTCTTGTGGATCCAGTGGTGGAGAAGCGTCTCAGGGCTGGCAGGGGTCTCCATGTGGTTCCTCCAGTTCCCAGGGCACATGGTCCATCAGTGTAGTGCCATGTGTCTGGTCAGTAGAGCATCTCTCAGGGAGTGAGTGAGCTTCAGTCTTGTCAGTAGAGAGTCTCCAAGGGAGTGAGCCAAGAGAGAGTGTCTCCCATCTCCGAGGAGGAAATACAAGCCTTCCAGATTTCTCAGGGGAAAGCCATGCTCACACAGATGCCTCATTGGTTGTGACCCGATTGACAGACTAGACTCCACCCTTCACTCTTAATCCTCACAAGCTCCGTATTGAAACCAGGCACTGTAACTCCCACAGTAAGTGAAGGGGCAGTGAAAAAAGAGGACCTTCCATGAGCTGGACTGACGCAGTGGCTGCAGCGGTGGCTCAGGCACAGGACCAATCAGAGGACGGCGTGGGACCAGGCAGTGGTTCCTTCCTTCTATTCTGCGTAGGGTCGCCATGGGCGGGAACTGGATGGCGCAGCACCCAACAGCTACAATGCCACCTGGGTGGTGGCGGGGTGCGTGTGAAATCCTTGCTGATTCCGTTTCAGAAGCCCCCCAGAGCAGGTCCTGCGTGCTGTGGGAGGGCTGCTGGGAGTCCGGACCCGCGCGCGGCAGTGAGGTTGATGACGTGTTGAGCATGTTCTCGTCTGAGATTCGCTGCCCGTCGAGCTTCCCCAGCGAGGGCCCTGATCAGACCTCCTGCTCATTTTGCCTGGGCTGTCTTCCTCTCCTTGGGCCACAGTTGCTGCTCAGCCTGTGTTTTAGGGGCTGTCGTCAGAGCCTGTGCACAGGCCCCTCCCACGAGTGCTTGCCTGGGCTTGTCTTTCTCTCTCTCCCTCCCTCCCCTCGCCCCTCGCAGCCGCTTTCTCGGCAGCAGTTGGCAGTGTTCGCGGAGCCCAGCGGCTGGCCATTTCTCACGGGTAGACCGTGCTTTGGGTGCACACCTGAGAAGCCACACCAAACCCAGGGTCACCTGCATGTCACCGTCACACGTTGTAGTTGGTGCGTTAACATCCAGTCTGTGACTCTGAGCTGACCTTCGCGCAGGGCGTCAACACTGTCTAACTGGGCAGACCTGCCCGCTCTCCAGTGCCACTGGTTGGAAAGAGCCCCTTCGTCCCTGACCGTCTCTTCTCCTTTGCCGAGATCTGTGGCTGTGTCCACACAGGCCTGTTTCTGGGTCCCTGTCCTGCCGCACTGCCTTCACCCAACACTGTCCTGATGCCTATTTCTCCACAGACCTGTGACGCTGGCCAGGGTCCGTCCAGCCTGGTCTTCGTGTCGCATGGGCTATTGGGGCCTTCGCCTTGTCCGTTTAACTTTCCACTCCATTTGTTGATGGCCATACGGCAGCTGGCTGGAACTTTGGCTGAGGTGCGGGCGCTTCCCGACTGCGCTGGGAAGCCTTGAGGAGCACAATTCGGAGCGGCCCGTGTGTGTGTGTGTGTGTGTGTGTGTGTGTGTGTGTGTGTGAGCACGGGGTGCATCTCCCTCACCCAGACCTCCAACTCGGGGCCTCTTCTGGAGGCTGAACAGTTCTGGCCGGTTGGGTGTGGGATGTGAAAGAAAGCAAGTGAAGGTGACTTGGGGGGCTCTGGTCTGAGCGTCGTTAGGAGGAGCTTTGCCTGGGACAGTCTGGCAGGTGACCCCTGGCCTGGGGAGAGCTGCTGGCTATGCAGGGCTCTGTGAAAAATGAGTGGGCACACGGGCACTCAGGAGTCATGTCCGCTGTATCAGGGAGAGTGTAGCTAGAGAGCAGAGCCCCCTGGGACATGCCAGCCTGTGCTGACTGAGAAGGAAACCTGTACAGGGCTTCAGGGTCTGGAGGGCTGGCATGGAGTCCAGTCTATTCCAAAGGGGCACGGGGAGCAGGGCAGAGTGCTGAGGGTGGCCAGAGGACTGGGCTTGCCTCAGTGAAGGGGGGCCACAAGAGCGTGGACCCCCTATTGGACTGCTCTGCTCTCTGAAGCAGCAGCCTCCCTGAGGTGCTGCAGGAGGGTCTTCTAAAGATGAGCTTGTAAGGGGGGCCATCATGTGGAGTGAAAACAGAGGGGGGCTGCTGGGGTAAAACCCTGGGGGCATGAGGGCCTGGCATTCAGAACAGGTAACTGTGACAGGTGCACAGGTCAAACCTGGGGGGCTGGGTTTCCTTTGGATGGCTCATCTTGCCAGTGATGCGGCGGGCCCTCTGCTGACTGTAGAGGTCTGGGGAGCAGTGTGGAGGGCCTTGCAGAGGAGTGGGGAGGGGCTGGCACTGCTGGGAACCCATAGGATCTCCATCTTTCCTGCGGCAACCTGGGCCAGGCACTGGGGTGGGTTACTCACGAGCTACTTACAGTAGTCCAGTCACCGTGGTGTCACAGAGGGGAGACTGAAGCTCAAGGCCACCAGTCCAAGCCCCGGTTCTAGCTGACCGGGTGAAGGGCCAGCCAAGCTCAGCAGGATCCCTGCACCTGGCCCAGGACTTGACACAGGCCCACCTGCCCAAGACCCCTGGGTCCAGGGCCCAGCCCCTCACGCTGGCTGCACCCCCTGCAGGGACACCTCCTGTCTCCCTTAGCCCAGACTCAGCCCTCACCACACCCTGCTCTTTCTACACCAGCCAGGCAGACCCAGTGGAAGCTTCCAGGAGCTCTTATTCTGCAAGTCTAGGGATCTCACAGGTGGGCTTCGGGGCGGCCAGGAGGAGAGATCAGCCTGGGAGTGGGGGAACCCAGGAAGTCAGGCAAGCCTGGGCTTGCTTATTCTGACTGGCAGATGTGCATGAACGGGACATCCAAGAAAGGTGCTGTGGAACCTTTGGTTTCCTTTCTGCAGACCAGTCACTGCCGGCCGGGCGTCCCTGGCTGGCTGGGCCCTGATCCCAGCCGGGGCAGTGGAATGGGGCTGGTGAGAAGCGGAATCTTTGGCGTGGGGAAAACGTGGGCAGTTGCTTTCCATAGACTAATAAGCAAAGGACAAGTACGGCCCCCGTGTGTGTGTGGCCATGGCCAAGGCTGGGCACAAAGCAGGGGGAGGGTGGGTTCTGGACTCCTACAGTTTAGGTGGTGACGGGGTGGGGTGGTGGCTCATAGGAATCTTGGGAGGGGATGATGGGATGGGTGCTGGGGTGGGGTGGCGAGCTAGCTCAGAGGTGGAGCAGGCAGAGGAGAGGGACATCAGGCAGCAGGTAGTTGACACCAACTGCTGCAATGGGGTGTGAGAATGAGGGTCCTGCTGGACTCGATCCTAAGTCTCCTCTTTCTGCGCCCCCTCCAACCCCACAGTAGAGCAGGCACCTGGGGAACCAGCAGCCTGAGAGGGTGGGGGTGGGGTGGTGCCGCCCCTTCTCAGTTGGGTCAGCAAGGTGTGTGTAGGTGCGTTGGCACTGGCTGTGGCTGCAGCTCATGTGCTGGTGCGCAGGAGTTGGCGTTCCCTGGCGCACCGCCCGCCTTTTTTTGGGCGGCGGGTGCAGGCCAGACTGGAGCCATTGGAGGGAGCGGCATAATCCCTGGGCCCAAGTGGGTGTTTTGGGTACAAAAGAGACCCCAATCTGAAATATACTTTAGAGAAAACATTTGTTAAGCCTTAAAACACAAATTCAACGCAAAGGCACATCATCTGGTTGAAGGAGTCCATTAGCACGAGGCCAAAATGGTCTCCCAGGAGTCAGTGGGGACACTAGTGAAATAGGCACTGGAGGAAGGAACTGTCACATTCATGACTGGTGGCGGATGGATACATCACAGTGACAGGTGGGATCCTGCTGGACACACATGAAGGGCCTACAGGGTTGGTCCAGGGCCTTGCGACCGAGGCGGTCAGGTTAACACGGCAGGACGTGGCTCATGTCTATGGGACGTCCAGTGCTGTCCGTCAGGGCTCCCCTAGCTAGCCTCTAGGAGACAGGGTGCAGCTGCTCTACTTTGCAAGGTCCGCTCCACAGGGCAAGATTCTCTCTTGGTTAATGATCACGAGAATTCGATGGGGGCTTAATCTGTGTGGGGGCTCTGCAAATGGATTTTGGGCTGTCACTGCCGTCCTCAGCCTTCTCAGAACTTAAGCCCTAACGCACTGGTCAAGGTGCCCTTGGACCGCGCTGCGGGCGCGGGTGGGTCCCAGGTCCGCAGGCCCGGCTGACGCAAGGCGGGGGCGGGCGCCCGGACCGGTCCTGCGGGGGGCGGGCCCGCTTCCGCCGGCCAGGTCTCTCCCCGGCGCAGGGCGCGCAGCGAGCGACCGTCAGCCATCCGGAGAGGAGGCCAGGTGGGCTCTGTGGGGTGGTGGGGGGACCCGCGGCTCTTCGGGACGTCCCCCTAGGGCGCCCTCCCGGGCCCGCGAAGCCTCCGCTCCCTAGGCCCCGCCCCCGCCGCCTGCGTGTCCCGCCCCCCGGGGGGGAAGAAGTTCTACCCAATGGGAAGGAATGTCCCGGCTGCTGCCCCCGGCGGCTGCCCTGCCTGCTGGCCCCTCCCCGTCCTCTCTCTAGCCTGCGCAGGCTACCAGCGCCCGAGGTCCAAGCCGGAGGTACTGGAGAGAGCCCAGCGGCGCGCCCCTCGGGAAGGCCTGCGCCGGCGCAGGGTTTTCCCCAGGGGCGCTGAGAAGTCCGTGGTGGGGACATCGGCTGCACCCAGGCCTGTCCAGCTGCGTCTGAACCCAGGGGTCTCCCCTCCAGGCCTCAGAGCGCGGGCCGCACTCCCCCCCGCCCCGCCCCCCGCACTCCTGCCCTCCCCAGACTGACTGCCCTGGGGGCGGAGCCTCTGCTCGGAGGTCGGCCCCTCCTACCTGTGGGTGACCGTCCGCCGCCCACCCTCCTCCCTGCCCAGTGCTCCCCATGGAAGATCTGCTCCTAGACGCCAGCCCCATCATCATGGGCAGCCCAGAGGGCCGCTTCCATTTCGCCATTGACCGCGGGGGCACCTTCACCGACGTGTTTGCCCAGTGCCCAGGTGGGCACGTACGAGTCCTGAAGTTGCTCTCTGAGGACCCTGCCAACTATGCCGACGCGCCCACGGAGGGCATCCGCCGCATCCTGGAGCAGGTGAGCCAGTGGGACCTGTAGAGGTGGGCTGCAGGTAGGCCTGGGAAGGATGGCACTGACTAGGACATCCCCAGGAGGGGGGTGTGCAGCTGTCCCGGGACCGGCCGCTGGACACCAGCCGCATCGCCAGCATCCGCATGGGCACCACTGTGGCCACCAACGCACTGCTGGAGCGTCGTGGTGAGCGTGTGGGACTCCTGGTGACACGAGGCTTCCGAGACCTGCTGCACATCGGCACCCAGGCCCGAGGGGACCTCTTTGATCTGGTGCGTCCCCCACACCAGGGCAGCTGGGGTGCGCTGGTGCCCCCTGGCAGGCTGCTGCCTGGGGCGGGCAGTCTTGGGAAGGAGGGTCAGTGCAGCCCAAGGCTAGCAGCTGAGGGGCAGAGCACTTCAGAGGGACCCTCCACACCCTGAGCCCTCCTGTTCTTGCCCCTACTACTTTACTTCCTGTCACGGACCTTGGATGTGCGATGCCCATTCCCCAGTTTAGGAGGGAGCTGCTTCTGGGGCTGCAGGGCATTCAGTCAGCTGACGGGTGGGGCCTCCTTGGAGCCCATCTGCTCCCGAGTCCTGAACCTGTTGGGACACGCCCTTGCCTGTACTGCCCCGCCCACCTGGACCCTGCCAGGGACCACTCCTGGCCAGCTCTGCCCTCCCCCCCAGGCCGTGCCCATGCCTGAAGTGCTGTACGAGGAGGTGGTGGAGGTGGATGAGCGTGTTGTGCTGTACCACTGCGATCCAGGTGCCAGCACGCCAGTCAAAGGTGTGGCACCCAACAACGTGGTGGCTGGGGGGAGGCGGGTACGTGCAGACCAGGCCCGCCTCTGACCAGAGGGATTCCTGCAGGCCGCACTGGGGACCTGTTGGAGGTCCAGCAGCCCGTGGACCTCGGGAGCCTGCGTGGGAAGCTGGAGGGGCTTCTGGCCCGCGGCATCCGCAGCCTGGCTGTTGTCCTCATGCACTCGTACACGTGAGCGTAGGCAGTGGGCTGGGGGGCGGGGGGGCGGGGGCATGACCACCAGGTGGGTGCAGGCATGTTGCCATGGGCTCCTCCTCCTAGGTGGGCCCAGCATGAGGAGCAGGTGGGCGCCCTGGCCCGAGAGCTGGGCTTCACACAAGTGTCGCTGTCCTCGGAAGCCATGCCAATGGTGCGCATCGTGCCTCGGGGCCACACAGCCTGCGCTGATGCCTACCTCACGCCCGCCATCCGGCGCTACGTGCAGGGCTTCTGCCGGGGCTTCCAGGGCCAGCTCAAGGTCAGGCCTGCCCACCTTCCCTGTGCCTGGTTTGACCCGCACTGCCCACCCTTCCTGTAGCTGGTTTGTTCCTCACTGCCCACCCTCTCTGGCCCCTCACTGCCTACCTCCCTAGCTTCCCTGTGCCCAGTCTGTTCCTCACTGCCCACCCTCCCTGTGCCCGGTCTGGCCCCGCACTCCCCCTGCACCTGGCCCAGCCTCACTGCTCGCCTGCCCATCTCCTCCAGGATGTGCAGGTGCTGTTCATGCGCTCAGATGGCGGGCTGGCACCCATGGACGCCTTCAGTGGCTCCCGAGCCGTGCTCTCGGGCCCTGCTGGGGGTGTGGTTGGTTACTCCACCACCACGTACCGGGCTGAAGGCAGCCAGCCGGTCATTGGCTTTGACATGGGAGGTATGAGGGCCACAGGCTGTGACCCAGGGAGGCTCAGGGGCCAGGCTGGGCACCTGCCACGGTGACCCCTCCCCTTGCCCCTAGGCACGTCCACCGACGTGAGCCGCTACGCAGGGGAATTTGAACATGTCTTTGAGGCCAGTACAGCCGGTGTCACCCTCCAGGCCCCGCAGCTGGACATCAACACAGTGGCAGCTGGTGGGGGCTCCCGCCTCTTCTTCAGGTCAGCATCCCACCAGCTGGCTGGGGCCCCAAGCCCCCCATGCCCTAGCCCCATCCAATCCCACGTTTCCTTTCCCCCAAGGTCCGGCCTCTTTGCGGTTGGGCCTGAGTCTGCCGGAGCCCACCCTGGTCCTGCTTGCTACCGGAAAGGTAAGAACCGGTACCTGTTTCATGAGCTCCAGCCTTCCCACCCTGCAGACCCGGCCTCCCCATGCTGCAGACACCCCAGCCTCCTCACACTATAGACCATTAGTTCTCAACCTGTGGGTCCCAACCCCTTTGGGGGTCGAACGACCCTTTCACAGGGGTCACCCAAAACAGTAGCAAAATTACAGTGATGAAGTAACAACGAAAATAATTTTATGGTTGGGGGGGCCACCACCACATGAGGAACTGTATTGAAGGGTCGTGGCATGAGGAAGGTTGATAACCTCTGTTACAGACCCCCAGCCTCCCATACTACAGACCCCCTCTAGAGTCCCCACACTATGCTGCTCCCTGCTCCCTATGCTGAAGACCCCCCAACACTGCAGATGCCCAGGTTCCCCATACTGCGGAACCCCAGATTCCCCATGCTGGAGTCCCCCAGCCTCCCCACACTGCAGACCCCCCAGTCCCTACTCTGCTGCCTACCCACTTCCAGCCCAAGCCTAGCCCGTGCCCATCTCCAGGGGGCCCTTTGACACTGACGGATGCTAACCTGGTCCTGGGTCGCCTGCTGCCCGCCTCATTCCCCTGCATCTTTGGGCCTGGAGAGGACCAGCCACTGTCCCCCGAGGCCTCTCGTAAGGCCCTGGAAGCTGTGGCCTCTGAAGTCAACAACTTCCTGGCAAACGGACCCTGCCCAGCCTCCCCACTGAGCCTGGAGGAGGTGGCCATGGGCTTCGTGCGTGTGGCCAACGAGGCCATGTGCCGGCCCATCCGTGCACTCACCCAGGTACACTACCCTGGGGGTGCGGGGCTGGGAGGCCACCCAGGGTGTGAGTCACCGAAGGCCAATGACACCCTCTGGTTTACAGGCGCGAGGCCACGACCCCTCAGCCCACGTGCTGGCCTGCTTTGGGGGTGCAGGCGGGCAGCATGCTTGTGCCATTGCCCGGTCCCTGGGCATGGACACCGTGCACATCCACAGGTGCGGCTGGGTGTGCTGTCCAGGGGTGGGACAGCCTTACAACCTTGCCCGTCACCAAAGTGACCCGGTCCCCACAGGCACAGCGGGCTACTGTCGGCGCTCGGCCTGGCCCTGGCAGATGTGGTGCACGAGGCCCAGGAGCCCTGCGCCCTGCTCTACAGCCCTGAGACCTTCGTGCAGCTGGACCAGAGGCTGAGCCGCTTGGAGGAGCAGTGTGTGGACGCCCTGCGGGCCCAGGGCTTCCCCAGGTGAGTGTGGCGGGCCCGTCAGCTTCCCCACCTGCCTGCCCAGGGAGGCCTGCGGTGGCTGCTTCTCCGGGTGGGCGGAGGCGGACCCTGGGTTGGGTGAGCACAGCACCCAGCCCCTGCCTGCAGGTCCCAGATCAGCACGGAGAGCTTTCTACACCTGCGCTACCAGGGCACCGACTGCGCCCTGATGGTCTCCGCTCACCAACACCCAGCCACTGCCCGCTCCCCCCGTGCCGGCGACTTCGGGGCTGGCTTCGTGGAGAGGTACTTGGGCTCCACGTCCTGGGGAGCCCTTGGGAAGTTTGTGGGCCGTGGCCGCCTGCCCTGACCTCCCTGGCCACCTGCCTTGGCCAACCTGGCTGCCTGTGGGCTACAGGTACATGAGGGAGTTTGGCTTTGTCATCCCTGAGCGGCCAGTGATGGTGGACGATGTGCGGGTGCGAGGCACCGGCCGCAGCGGCCTTCACCTCGAGGACACCCCCAAAGCCCAGAGTGGACCTCCCCGCGTGGACAAGGTTGGTGTCCTCCCCAGGATGGCCTGGTATGGATGGGGAGAGCCCCCAGGGAGGCTGCTGGACTTAAGGGCCACGCTGACCCCATACCCTCTGCAGATGACCCAGTGCTACTTTGAGGGGGGCTACCAAGAGACCCCCGTGTACCTGTTGGGAGAGCTGGGCTTTGGGCATAAGCTCCAGGGGCCCTGCCTTATCATCGACAGCAACAGGTGGGCTGAGGCCTGGCCAGGTCACACTGAGGAGGGTGGGCTGGGGCCAAAGCTGCTGGCTGGGGGTGCTGCGGGGTCGTGCCTGCAGGGCTTTGGGCTTTGGCACATGTCCCTTGGTCTGGGGCTGGGCGACTCGTGGTTGGGGGTGGCCTGGTCTGGCCCTTCTAGTCCTTCTGCCCTCCCTGTCCCTGTCCCCAGCACCATCTTGGTGGAGCCAGGTTGCCAGGCGGAGGTAACAGAGACGGGGGGCATCCGGATTTCTGTGGGGGCAGAGGCCCCCAGCACAGTGGGTGCCCGTCTCGACCCCATCCAGTTGTCCATTTTCTCACACCGGTTCATGAGCATCGCGGGTAAGTGCCGCCTCTCCCGCAGCCATGGGCCCTGGGCTTGTCACCCTCCTGCAGGCCGGGGCAGTCTGAGGGTTGGCTGGGAGTGGGCCCAGGCCAGATGATGGCGGGCTGGCAGCGGGTGCTCGAGTGACCAAGCATGTTCCTGGCAAGAGCGTGGGCAGTGTAGCCCTGGAGGGCCTTGGTCCTGCTCGGACAGCAGCCTTGCTAGGTTCAGACTTGGGCTGCTAAACCCAGGTCAGTGGCTTGCACTCCTGAGACCCTTCTCAGGAGAAAGATTAATCTCGGGAACCTGAGGGAGCAGCCTTCTCTGACCAGCCCTGTTAGGTCACCTGACAGTGGTGGGTGTTTCGACCCCTCTCTAGGTGAGAAACGTAGACTTGGGGGAGCTTTCCGGTGCGGTGGGGTTGGGGGAGAGCCCAGCCAACTTCAGTGCCTTGGGCCCAGGTTCTCTTGGGAAGCTCCAGGCAAGGGATAAGACCTTCACTTTGGTAAGGCCCTGTGGGGCTGTCCAGCTGACTGTGGGCAGGAAGCAGGGGCTCAGAGCTATCATAGGGCTTGAGGACTGGTAAGGTTGGGGCTGAGCTAGGTCCTACCTCCAGTGCTTCCTGGGATCCCCAGGGGGCCTGTGCTGTGTTGTGTAGGGGGGAGCTCCCACTGCCCTGCATGGGGGACAGGAGAGCTGCTGGGGTCTGTTCCTCAGGCCAGGGCCTGGTCTCTCTGTGTCCCCAGAGCAGATGGGCCGAATCCTGCAGCGCACGGCCATCTCCACCAACATCAAGGAGCGCCTGGACTTTTCCTGTGCCCTCTTCGGGCCCGACGGGGGGCTTGTCTCTAACGCCCCCCACATCCCGGTGCACCTGGGTGCCATGCAGGAGACCGTGCAGTTCCAGGTCCACAGCCTTGCTGCCCCACTTCCCCACAGCCACCCCCACCTCCCGCCTCACCTTTCTGGTCCCAGCCGGTCGTCTGGTTTCAGATCCAGCAGTTGGGGCCAGACCTCCACCCTGGTGACGTGCTCCTGAGCAACCACCCCATGGCGGGGGGCAGCCACCTGCCAGACCTGACAGTCATTACACCGGTGAGGGCCCACCTGGTCGCCCTGGGGGGTGGGGCCACCGCCACAGCTGACCCCACACTCTGCCCTCAGGTGTTCTGGCCGGGCCAGACAAGGCCTGTGTTCTATGTGGCCAGTCGTGGGCACCATGCGGACATCGGGGGCATCACACCAGGCTCCATGCCCCCTCACTCCACTACCCTGCAACAGGAGGGGGCTGCCTTCCTGTCCTTCAAACTCGTACAGGGGGGCGTCTTCCAGGAGGAGGGTGAGCGGGAAGGGCCTTGGGCTCCTAGAGAATTTTCCTGGGCTGACCTTTGGGCAGTGGGCGGCTATGAAGGGCTAAAGTGGGGTGGGCTGAGTGGGGGGGTCTTCCTTTGCTCCGAGCGCCCCCTGCCCTCCAATGTGGACGGGAGTAGGGGGTCTGAGGGAGGTGGTAGCTACCCAGGAAAGTGCTAAGAAACTTGAACAGGGCAACGGTGGGGGACAGCTGGCATGGCAGCCAAAGCTTGTATTTGATGGGACTTGGGGTGGGGTGAGGAGGGGCCCTGGGGGCGCAGTGGGTTACATGTTGGCCTGCTAACAGCAAGGTCAGCAGTTCAAAACCACCAGCCCTCGTCAGGAGGAAGAGCAGGCCTTCTGCTCCTGTGAAGCCTTAGAAATCCAGAGGGGCCAGTCCCGCAATGCCCTGTAGGGCCCCTAAGAATTGGCATTGACTCACTGGCGTGAGTTTGGTTTTGGGGGAGGGGCTGGGTGCCTGGAAGAGGGGTTTGGCTCTGGTGGGACGCAGGGCTGCCTGCAGGGAAGCTGGAAACTTTGGGGGTGAGGGGCTGCCTCTGGACATACAGAGCTGGATGAAGCCGTAGGCCAACAGCCTGGGGGACCCTCTGAGTGGGCTGTCAGGGGTGAGGACATGACTGGGCTCTGTCCTCATGTGGACATGGGCTGGAGACATGCCAGTGCTCAGCAGAGAATATGTCTGCCCAGGACCCAGGGAAGCCTGGACAGGACTTTCCTAAGTATAGACCAGGGCTGTGTCCATAGCCTTTGTGGGGAGGGGCTGGAAGCTTCTTGAGGTGGGGTGGGGGGCAAGCAAGGCAGTAGAGACAACCACACCAGTATCCTTTGCTAAAAGGAGGCTCGGATCTGAGGGTCCAGGTGGCAGGTAACAGGAAAATGAGGAGGTGGGGTGGGGGCTTGCTGAAGGACTAGTCCACCCCCCCACCCCCCAGGGTCCTCCACTGCTTGCGGGTCCAGGTGGGGCTCCTGGCCATGGCTGGGCACCAAGGTGCTGGGGTGTGGATGAAGCTGGGGTGTGTGTGTAAGGGGCACCAATGAATCATTCAAGGGTCACATGTGGTCACAGTCCTGAGAGAGGGCTTAGGGCCATAGGTCAGGGTTCCAAATGGTCTGAGGGTGGCTTAATGGTGACTTCCTGTCCCACAGAGGTGACTGAAGCCCTGCGGGCACCAGGCAAGATCTCTGGCTGCAGTGGGACCCGGAACCTCCATGACAACCTGTCGGACCTCCGTGCGCAGGTGGCAGCCAACCAGAAAGGCATCCAACTGGTGGGGGAGCTCATCGGGCAATATGGGCTGGACGTGGTACAGGCCTACATGGCGCACATCCAGGTGGGCTGGAGAGAGGGCGCATATCCAGGTGGGGGGCACACCCAGCTGCACCAGGGCAGGGTGGGAGCACTGGGGGAGGAAGGATGCTGGTCTCCATGGGCCATATCCTGGGGGACCAAAGGGCACTGTGGGGGAACTCCTTGGCCCCCGAGGTGAACCTGGCTTTGGCACTCTGGCAGGCCAACGCGGAGCTGGCTGTGCGGGACATGCTCCGGGCCTTCGGGACGGCCAGGCAAGCGCGGGGCCTGCCTCTAGAGGTGTCTGCAGAGGACCACATGGATGACGGCTCTCCCATCCGGCTACGGGTGCAGATCAACCTGGGTCAGGTCAGGCCCTCGGTGACCCCCTCATGGGGCTGCTGCAGTGGCTACGGGCTCCTGACATCCCCCTCCCCGCAGGGTAGCGCTGTCTTTGACTTCAGCGGCACGGGCTCCGAGGTGTTTGGCAATCTGAACGCCCCACGAGCCATCACGCTGTCTGCCCTCATCTACTGCCTGCGCTGTCTCGTGGGCCGCGACATCCCGCTCAACCAGGTGCGCGAACCACGTGGCTGCGGATGCACCGGGCAGGGGTGTGGCTAGCAACCTCCGTGTGTGTGTGTGTGTGTGTGTGTGTCTGATTTTGAAGAGGGGCGGCCCACACTCCCTCTTAAGAGCCGTGCTCCCCAGGGTTGCTTGGCACCAGTGCGTGTTGTGATTCCACGAGGCTCCATCTTGGACCCGTCCCCAGAGGCAGCTGTGGTTGGCGGCAACGTGCTCACGTCACAGCGTGTGGTGGATGTCATCCTGGGGGCCTTTGGGGCCTGTGCTGCGTCGCAGGTGTGGCAGGGTGGGGTGGGGCAGCGCCAGGAGGCGGGGCTGTAGCCTGGAGGCGGGGCCCATGTGGGCGGAGCTGCCCACCAGCCAGCCCTCCGCTGCTTGCCTCTGCTAGGGTTGCATGAATAATGTGACGCTGGGCAATGACCACATGGGCTACTATGAGACGGTAGCAGGTGGTGCGGGCGCGGGCCCTGGCTGGCATGGGCGCAGCGGCGTGCACAGCCACATGACCAACACTCGCATCACTGATCCCGAGATCCTGGAGAGCCGGTGAGTGGGCGGGGCAGGGGATAAGGTCCTTCCCCATCTCCCTCCTGGGTCATGCTCAGCCCCTGTGGCCGGCACAGGTACCCGGTGATCCTGCGCCGCTTCGAGCTGAGGCCTGGCTCCGGAGGCCGCGGCCGTTTCCGGGGTGGCGATGGTGTGGTCCGCGAGCTGCTCTTTCGCGAGGAGGCGCTGCTTTCCGTCCTGACGGAGCGCCGTGCCTTCCGGCCCTATGGCCTCCAAGGTAGGTGAGGAGCGCAGCGCCAGCCCTCCAGGCACCCCCACCCCCCACCCCTCGAAGTCTCCCTGCCACCCCACACCTGCCCCTCCCTGCAGGGGGTGAGCCAGGAGCCCGGGGCCTCAACCTGCTGATCCGTAAGGACGGCCGCACGGTGAACCTGGGTGGAAAGACATCGGTGGCCGTGTACCCAGGGGTAAGGACTCCAGCTTGGGGGCCCCACGCCACAGAGGACGCACTGAGTCGAAAAAGCCCAGTTTAATTTGGCTTCCAAGGGAAAGGGCACAGCGTCCCAGACCGTGACCCAGGCTGGAGGGCAGGGGAGGGAGGTTTGTGTGGAGCGCCCTAGCCCCTGAGCTGAGATGCCCCTCTGCTTCTCAGGACGTATTCTGCCTCCACACGCCCGGCGGGGGTGGCTACGGAGACCCCGAGGACCCTGCCCCACCCCCAGGGTCATCTTCACAGGCTCCAGCTTTCCCAGAGCGGGGCAGTGTGTATGAGTACCGCCGTGCCCAGGAGGCCGTGTGACCCCTAATAAAGATCTTGGAATCACCCATGCTGGGCACGGTGGCCTCCAGGCGAGCGTCAGTCCTTGCTTCCGCACGCATGTCGTCTGTCTGGGTTATGAGGGTGCAGACACTCGGAGCTGTAGACTCACGGCCAGGTGGTCCGTGAGCCCTGCAAGGGCGGTACTGAAGGTCACCTGTTCCACCTCCTGGGGGTGAGAGTTAGGTTGAGGGGCCGCCCCACGACCGCCTTGGGCCTGTCCCCCAGCTAGGACACTCACCGGGATCAGTAGGGTCCTGGGTATTCCACAGTACAGGATGTAGTCCAGGCGCCGGCCCCGCCAAGACTTGGAGTAGCTGACGCTGGGGCAACCGGCCAGGTACAGGCGGCGCCCCTCCTCCTGTTCCAGGGCCCTGGGAGGGAGCGGTGTTAACAAAGGCCGGGTGCATCCCCCCAAGGTACCTGGCTGTAGGTCCACCGCTCACCTGCGCAGCATCTCTGGGGAGCTGGCCTCAGAGTGGTGGAGCTGTGGGGTGCTTAGCAGTGTCCCTGGGGGCCGCAGGGGAAGGGTGGCATCAGGGAGCCTGGCCTTCCCCAGGCCCGCCGCCCTCCCAGGCAGCACCCGTACCCAGGGCCCAAGGCTGATCCTGTTGCGCGCCCAGCCGGCAGGGGTCTTGGAAGCGGCTGAAAAGCTGGTGCTGTTGCTCCTGGGAGTCCGCTGCAGAGAGAGGGGTCGCTCTGGTCTGAAGGCTTATGGCCCCGCCCCAAGTCCCGTCCTCAGCCCCGCCCCTAGCCTTCCTGGACCTCGTGAGCAGTTGTCAAAGTTCAGATCTCCCATGAGCACGCTGAAGGCTACAGCTTCGTCCTCCAGGCGGTTCTCAGCCTCGAACTGCTCCACCCAGTCCAGTAGCAGCGCCAGCTGTTCGCAGCGCACGGGACCATCTTCTGCGAGGAGCGAGGGCTCAGCTTGGGGTTCGGGTCGGCATCCTGGACTCCTCTCCCAGGGTCCCGGGCCAGAGACCCACCCGGGCGGGCGGGCACGCCTCGGGATTTGCAGCGCCATGATTGGCGAACCAAGGGGCGGGGCCTCCGGAGCAGCGGGTCATTCGGGGGGCGGGGCAGCTCACCAACGGATGCCTGCAAGTGCGTGCAATGCAGGAAACCCACGACCCGGCGGCCGTCCAGGATGCCCAGCTGCGCCTGCAACACCACGGCCATCTGACTCCATGCCCACCACTTCCCCGGGCCCGTGCGCCGCAGCCCAGGGGTCCTGTACCTGTGCCGAGAGCAGCCCTTTGGAGGCCAGCGCGTCCTCACGGTGCCCGTTGGGGAAGAAGCGGAAGGCTGCGCTCAGCAGCGGGTAACGTGAGGCCAGTAGCAGCCCGCTGCCCAGCAGCTTGAGATGCGGCCCAGGCCATAGGCCGAGCGCGCCCACATCGTACAACACCGGGCCCATGTTGGGCACCAGGTGGCGCAAGAGGTGGCTCGCCGCGCGCAGGTCGAACACCTCCTGCAGGCACACGAAGTCCAGGCCTGAGGGCAGCGTGGCGGCGAGCATCCCGCACGGTGCCCCGGCTTGCGGCGGACTGCAGGCCGTGGCTCCGTAGCGCGAGGGTCGCAGGCCGGCGAGCAG